CAGGCAGAACTGAGGTGGAGATAGATTACGGAATGCCTTAAGAGAGCCATAGTTTCAATATTGGGGAAAGAAAGCATCCACATGTGGTGGAGAAGAGAAATAGTTTGGATCTCCAGTGCTAGGTTTGATCATTTACTGGTGGCTTCCTGGAGTGAATTGTTGAGAATCATTCTGAAGCCGTGTCTGAGTTATGAGAAAAAGAGGTCTGTATTTCGTGAGTGATGTCTGCCACTGGCATGGAATGGGAGCAGGGGTGAGCAGCGTGACATCCTAAGCTGGAGACTGCCTCACCTACAAATAGAAGAAGAAATAACATGCAGTTTAAAGTCCCCTTCAAAATCATGGCTACTCATCAAGTATTTATTTGAAACTCTAAACTCTATTTCCCCTTTAAATTAATTAATATATTCTTCATAAAAGAGAATGATCGGTGGAAAATTCCTAGCGGTAAACTTAATACATAAAATGTATGCTCTCAGTGTTGAATTTATCTTCAGTCTTTCATTTTAAACAAGAACAGAAGTTTATAAAAATAATAATGCCTATATCAGAGTGTTGTCAAGGTCACTAAGTGAAATAGGTGGGGTTAAGTACCCACTGCCTAGAACACAGTCTGTGATAGTCCTATTGTCCCTGTTAGTTTGGTGGGAAACTCATGCTTAAGGAGGCTAAGTTCAAGCAAACAGTAGATGCTTGTGGGGTTTGAACACAGAACCTCTGGCCCCAGTGCCCAGTGGATCAACAGGGAGAGGAGTGGGATATTGTTTTCAACAAGAACTTCAGAGTAGGGTTGACCTTTCTACAAACACTTACAGATACAAATTGATGGCCATCACATAGACAAGGAAGAGCAACAACAAGTTGCATGTAAGACAGAGTCTTGAGGCTTTATTAATTATTTGTCAGTTATTTATACAATGTGGTCAGGTCTGATCCAGTATAACTACTAAGGATACACATGTTTAAAATGCATTTGACATTATCCAATGCAGTGAGGTGTGTATATATTAATAGCTCACCTGCTCATCTTCCAGGAATATAATGAGGGTCAATTTTGATAATGTGAAAATGTTGCTTATGATAAAATTCCCTTATCAATTTTACTTACTATTAACTCACTTAAAAAGCCATCTTTCTCACCCACAGAAAGTTTTGGAATGAGTCATCCAGATAATTAATTATGCAACGTTTGACTTTATTTTCCACGTGCAGACACAGCTTCACAGGATGATTGGATCCTCATCTATATTCATAACTGAAATGTATCAGTTAAATAGCACATATGTAAATCTGCATGTGTTAATATTTGTATATGTAAACATTTATATTTTTGCTGAAAAATAAGTCAATAAAAACACAGGAATTATTGTGTGGCTACAAATAAGCTGATTCTTATGAATGCCACTTAGAGTTAACAGAAACAATCAAATGTTAATAAAACTAACAAATACATGGCTGTGTAATATCTGTCCTTTAAAACAGCAATTTCCGTAATGTCTCTGGATCATTCTAACCGGTGCCTGCATGATGAGCCCCCTGTCCAGTTACAAGTTGTTGCCAAGAAAACAAGAGTTGAAGCAAACTCTGTAAGGTTTGGATCAGTCAATACCCACTTATTACAAAGCAAAAGATACCAATATATGACCCAGCAGTACTCAGCTTAGCCTAGGACCAAAGCAGGAAAGTCAGAGAAGTGAAATGAATAAGACCATTACCTCCAGACTCTTGTAGACCTGGGTTCAAATCCAGGATCTACTATTGGAGTGCAACATGTTAGTGAAAATTCTTCAAATTTTCAAAGCCTTAGCTGCCACTTCTGTAAATGGGTACAAGAAGAATGTCTATTGATAGGGTTCTTGTGGGAATCAGATAAGGTAACACACACGAAAACATGGATGCATTAACAAGCCCAAAATGCCATGATGAGTGTTGAGAACAAGCTCCCAGAGGCATTGACAAAGAGAAGAAATGATAACATCTTCACTTCTAATTTCTGCTTTGCCATGACAAACATAATTTTAACAAACCCTGTTATTAATTTTCAAGTGTAAAACATTTTTTATGATCGTTCTCAGTACAGAGGTGACATTTTTTAAATGTACAACACTTTTAAACATCCTTCATAATTCCTGAATAAATGACTCTGGCTCTCAGACCCACCAGCATCCACTACTGTTCAGATAGCTTCATTGCACAAAGAAAACCTAATTGGGTACAAATGAACAGAAGGATCAATATTAATTGGATAATTCTGCAACTCTTAATCGCTCCACTTCCTTTATCGTGGGTGTTCTAAGAGCAACACTATTTTAGAATTAGAATATTCTTTATATATAAACCAACCCATCCCTTCTTCTTTCAGGCAAAGGCATTTCCAAAGTTAGTGTTAAAACTTTGACAATGGAGACTGTAGTGTCCTCACAGTTTGTGATCACAAGAGTTATGATTTTAAATCATTTGAAAGATAATTTCCCTAAATGCCATGTGTTATCCCAGGATCAATCCTAGAACAGAAAAAGGACAGTAGTAGACAAATTAATGAAATATAAATAAAATCTGATATATCATTAAGTGTAATATGTCAATGTTCATTTAATAGTCTTGACAAATGTAGCTGTGGTAATGTAAGTTGATAAGACTAAAGGAAACAGTAGTGTAAAGGTGTTATATTCTCTTAGTAAATTTTCTGTTAATCTAAAATTATTCCAAATGAAAAGTTCATTAAAAAGAAAAAATTTTCCAATCTGTGATTGCAAAACAAAAGCAATCCCAGCTTCATCGTGTACTAGCCATGTGTCATTGAACAAATCACTATGCCTCAGCCGCCTCTGCTATAAAAGAAATACTAAAACTTGTTCAAGCTGCCTGACCCATGAAAGTAAAATAAACAGTTATTATTAATGTATTTTGCAAAGTAGAAATCAAATATTGATGTCAGCATTAATTTCAAACATCTACCTATGGTAGAAAGAGAGATAGAAAATTGAATTTGTTTTAGGAATATAACATGTGTTTTTAAAATCATGCTAATTTTTAATTATACCCATTATAAAATTGCAATAAAACTGCTTCATCCATGTAATCCTTTTAGAAAATATATTAGTAAATAATTTCAGAATTATGAACATATGTATGTTTTTTATAGTAGTAACCCCAATTGTAAATAAACATTTATTCTGAGGAAAAATGAAATGGGGAAGTTGTATAATGCTAGATGGTTCCATGTCATTTATAATAGTGAACAACGAGAAATATCTAAAATATTCAATGATAGGAAGAAGTTTATGTAAATCAGGCTATCAGAATTTAATAACCCATGGTGCTATATATATTAAACACTAAAATATGAGCACATAGGAGAAGCATTTTTATTTATGAGTGAGAAAAACTCTAATTACTGTAATTATTCTGCTCATTTGTATAGATATTTTAAATATAATCTTATAATCTGCAAGAAATGACAAAAATTATAGTAACTTTTTATTTCCAATGTATATATTATTATTATTAGAATATTTAAAATTAAACATCAATTTTAAAACCATAATACCATATTTTTTATCATCTAAAGAGTTCAGCTTATTTTAAGGGTGAGTCAAAGCCACGACAATAAGCACTAAAACAATTTAAATTTTCCTGAACAGTCTGAGACAGATACCAAATGCTATTTGTGACATCAAATGTGCTTAAGAAAATAAAGTGGATGTAGTTAAAATCAAAAGACTCTGGCCAGGCATGGTGCCTCAGTCCTGTAATCCTAGCACTCTGGGGCCAAGGTGGCAAGATCATTCGAGGTTAGCAGTTTGCAACCAACCTGAGCAAGAGCGAGACCTTGTCTCTACTAAAAATAAAAAGAAATTAATAGAACAACTAAAAACATAGAAAAAATTAGCCAGGCATGGTGATGCATGCCTGTAATCCTAGCACTCTGGGAGGCTGAAGCAGAAGGATCACTCAAGGTCAGGAGTTCAAGACTAGCTTGAACAAGAGTGGGACCCAGTCTCTATTTAAAGTAGAAAGAGACTAGCTGAAAAACTAAAAACATACAGAAAAAATTAGCCAAGGCATGGTGGCACATGCCTGTAGTCCCAGCTACCCAGGAGGATGACGCAGAAGGATTGCTTGACCCCAGGAGTTTGAGGTTGCTGTGAGCTAGGCTGACGCCATGGCACTTTAGCTGGGGCAACAGAGTGAGACTCTGTCTCAAAAAAAAAAAAAAAAAAAAAAATCAGAAAATCTCCTTCTGTGAGGTGAGGCAGCTTTTTTTACCCTTAATGTCCTTCCATGTGCCATTTTTTAGGGTGTCCTTGTGGAAATAGTAAGTGTTTTATTCTACATCAATAACCCTGTATATGGTACAGCCAACCTTGAATTTATCATATTTATGCCAATGTTCAGTATTTAGCCTTTAAATTTTTTGCTTAAAAGCAAAAAGTATGCTTTTTAATCTAAAACATTATGATGGGGAGAGTATCAGAGCATAAATGATAAATAAGACTATTTTCAAAAGAATAAATAAGATGCTACTAGAAAACAATGACAAAAATATGCACTTGTTTGTTTTCTAAGTTGTTTGGATTTAACTTGCACATGAAAGGCTGAAGAGGGGTCTAATTTCATTATACTTGAATTAATCAGGTGCACCTATAGTTTCTCCCAAAAAAACAAACACCAATTTGCATTCTAACAGCTGCTGTTTATTGGACACTTATGTATCAAAAGCAGTTCTATGTACTCCACATGTATTATTTTATTTGTTTCCACATATTTTCTGCTTGGTAATATAATTAATATTATCCTCATTAAGTATCAGGAGTCTAAGAGCCAGAAAGTTTATGTAACTAGCCCAAGTGTACACAGTTTTAAGTCATAGGCTCCTGCATTGCATTAAACTTTATAGCCAAATCACAACACCCACACTTTCTTTGAAACATTGTGTCATAATTTGAAATCCTCTCTGAAAATGAAAACCTGGGAATTATAAATCTCACCACTTTTCCGTTCCTTGCAAATTCTCGTGATAGTAATTTCCTATTGTCTAGCAGAAAAGTCCATTTGGTGGCTGGCGAAACAGGAAGGTTGGTTCCAATCTGTCCTTGTACATCTAAGAGAGACAGGAAGAGCATCTCTGGCAGACAGATAGAGAAGGTCTCCTACGGATTCTTAAGTGTTGTATTTAACATAGTCTCAGGAAAAACAAATAAAGCAGAAATAGCTTCCTCCTTGGTTTCCTACCAGAATTTAAAGAAATTTCCCTGAGGGGTCATGAACCTATACAATTGCTTCTCAACTCCCCCAGGATTTGGAAATTTCCCAACAGTATGATTTTCCAAGACACAGTTTTATTATATGTGCTTTGACTTGCTCTAGTCTTTGCAAAACTTTTATGTTCCTTATCAATTAGAGGGTAGTTTTGTTTTGTTTTGATTTTTTCAAATTCTGGTTTCTATTGGAAGATGCATTGATTTTCCTTCATGTTCAGAAATAAAGTACTTTATCTGCTGCTATAAAATCTCAGATTTAGGGAAAACTCCTATGTACTTACTAAGCAAAAGAGCTGAGTTCTGGGACAAGACAGAATCAATCCATAAGGACAACATACATTGTTTGGGGACTAGGGTAGCAATGAGTGCTTATTAAAGGATAACATTTTATGTATAAGTATGTAAGGATTCATAGATTAATCAAAATGTTATTTTTTACTCTCCAAACTGATCTTCATGTTCCATGTCTTTAAACCTAAAAATAGAATTCTTAGAGTAAAGGAATTTTCTCTTTTCATATGATTTGAAATGAATTTAGGGCAGGTACAGTTATTCTAAGAAAGCATACCATTGAGATTATAGCCTGAGGGGCAACTTGAACTTCAGAGAGGTATGATACCAAACAATTTGTTGCTTTATCTATTCTTTAATCATTTTATCCTGTTTACTGATATGTTTATTCACACCTCACAGAAAAATGCATAACTGATGTCATTTGTCAGAAAACTCATGGCCCAGAAGCACCATCAGTTAAAATGTCAGTGGAATTAAGAAAGAAGCGCTATATTTTTTTTCATTGAGATTTTATATGTGTGTCCTGGTAGAGAAGAATCACCTTATATGGACCAAAGTCTTAGTCCGAGTGATATTTTGTAAATATCAGCAACAGACTTGACCAACTCATTCTGAAACTCTGATTCTCACTCTAAGCCACAGTTAGCATCTTCTACTTCATTCCATTTCCTGCCTTGCTTAATCCTTGATTATCTGTTTTGTTAGAGGAACAGAATGGAATAAAATAAAAATAAGATTAAATATCATTTCAAATAAAAAATAAAAATCATATAAAATAAAAATATGATTATAAAGATGGAGTAAGGTAGATAATATAAGAAGCATTATATTTGCACAGTTAAGAAACGTAGGGTAAGATATATATATATATCTAGCCAAAGTGTACACAGTTTTAAGTCATAGGCTCATGCATTGCATTAAACTTTATAGCCAAACCACAACACCCACACTTTGAAACATTGTGTCACAATTTTAAATCCTCTCTGAAAATGAAAACCTGGGAATTATAAATCTCACCACTTTTTGCTTCCTTGCAAAGATTTTATTTTTTAAATCAGAAAGAGAAGGACAGAGAGAGTGGGAGCCACAGCCAAGGAGAAGAAATGGCAGATATGGGATAGCAATTTTCCTTTCCAAAATTTACCCAATACTCTAGTCTTTCCTACTGATTTCAAATTGTCTTATCAGTTGATATTACAACTAATACTGTAAAATCTAAAAACCCAAAGGATCATTAGAGACTACTATGAGCCACTATGACAATGAATTACAAAAGTGACCACAAATGGATAAATTCATAGACACATACAACCTACCAGGAGTCCACTAGAAAGAAATTCAAAACCTGACTAAACCAATAACAAGTAACAAGATAAAGGCAGTAATAAAACGTCTACCAAAAGAAATGCCCATTTCCCCTAGGGCTTCACTGCTAAATTCTACCAAGGAGTCCATGAAGAACTAATAGAAATCCTACTCAAGGTGTTCAAAAATATTGAGTAGCAGAAGGGTATCCTCTCCTCCCAAACTTATTCTATGAGTTCTGTACAACCCTGTTACCAAAACCAAAGACAAGACATAAAAAGAAAATTATCAGGTCAATATTTCTAATGAACCTGGGTGCAAAAACACTCAACAAAATGCTAGCAAACGAAATTTAATAACACATTAAGAAGATTATTCCTCATGATAAAGTGGGATTCATCCTACGTATGCAAGGATGGTTCAACATACAATAATCATTGTGATACATCTTATCAACAGAAAGAAGGATGAGAACCATATGATCACTTAAATTGATGTTGAAAAGGCAACCAGTAAAATTCAACATTATTTCAGGATAAAAGCTTTCAAAAACTTCCATAGAAGCAACTTACCTCAACATGATAAAAGCCATCAATGACAGACCCACAGCTAGTATAATACCAAATGGGGAAAACTGATAAGCCTTTCTAAGATCTGACACAAGACAAGGATGCCTACTTTCACCACTGTTACATAGAACTGGATGCTCTAGCTAGAGCAATCAGATGACAGATATACATGAAGTGCATCCAAATGGGAAAGGAAGATTCAAATTATGTTTGCTTGCAGATGATATAATCATATATGTAGAGAAAAATATCTGGAATATATAAGGAGCTCCAACAACTTAAATGGAAAAAGCAAATAATCTGATTAAAATAAGAAAGCTCTGAATAGAAATTTCTCAAAAGAAGACATACAAATGCCAAGAAGTATAAGAAAAATTCTCAGCATGATTAGTCATCAGAGAAATGCAGATCAAAACTGCATTCAGATATCATCTCACACTAGTTAAAGTTTCTTATCAAAAAGACTATCAGTAACAAAGTCTCCTAATGATGTGGAGAAGAGGGAACCCTTTTACACTGTTAGAGCGAATGTACATTACTGTAACCACTAAGGAGAACAGTAAAGAAGTTACTCAAAAACCTAAAAATAAAACTACCACATGGCTCAGCAATCCCATAGCAGTGTATATATCCCAAGGATGGGAATTCAGTATATTGAAAAGATATCTGAACTCCCATGTTTATTGTGGCACTAGTCACAATAACCAAGATATGAAATCAACCTAAGTGTCCATCAGTGGATGAGTGGATAAAAAATTGTGGTACAAAAATCCACTGTAATATTATATACTACAGAAAATAATGAAATACTGCCATTTCCAGCAACATGGATGGAACTGGAAAACATCATGTTAAGTGAAATAAATTAAGCACAGATAGTCACATCTCACATGTTGTCACTCATTTGTGGGGGCTGAATATTAAAAACCATTGATCTCCTGTGGACAGAGACTAGAATGATGGTTACCAGAGGCTGGGAGGGGTAGTGGAAAGTGAGGAGGAATAAAAAAGAAGCTTCATACCTGAATGCAGAGATGGGAGAACTGAAAATGGCTCCCCTGACCATATAAATCACAAAAGGATTTTATAGGAGCTGTCTCAGATCTCTTATGAGATCACTTAGAGACATTTTTTCCCCATAGATCCATGAAATAGTGATTTTCAGACCTCCTTTCTTTGTCCTGCTCCTATACTTGGAGTGATTCTCCTTCCCCCTTTCCTTAGTACCTCTATCTAAGGTCCATCTCTGCCTATTTCATTCACTTGGAAGAGTCAATTGAAAATTGAAGTTTCAGTTCACTTTGAAGTTTTCTCTGTTTACAGATAAGAGTTTTTTAATTTCAAAATACTAAGGCACTAGAAATGTTTTTTTTTTTTTTCTAAATGGATACCATGTACAATGCTTACTTCGGGGCTTTCAGTGTGCCTATCACCAGGTCAGTGTTTACTAAACCCAATAGGTGATTTTTTTCTTAACACTTATTCCCTAGACACTCTCTATCCCTGTCTTGGTTTCCAACATCCTTTATGCCTCTTTGTGCTCATTATCCTAAATGAGTCATCTCAGAAATGGAAAAAACATGTAAGTGCTATATGCCATGGAGCACTATTAGGCTCTAAGAAACAATGGTGATATAGCACATCTTGTATGTTCCTGGATAGAGCTGGAACCCATGCTACTAACTGAAGTAGCTCAAGAATGGAAAAACAAGCACCACATATACTTACCAGCAAATTGAAATACTTTAGGTTGTAGATGAATCACCCAATCTCTCTGCCTCCCTCTTCACATGACATTCTCCTTGTGTGCGTGTTTTTCTCTTTTTTCTCTTTATAAAGACACAGATATGTTGAATTAGCGTTTACCTGGATAACCTCATCTTAATTCGATCACCTGAAAATTTTCTTTTTTTTTCAAATAAAGCCACATTGACAAGACCCACAGGTCTTGTGGGTTTGGATTTCAACATTTTGAGGACTTTCAATTCAATCCATAACAATCCTATACAGCCCCTAAAATTGGAGGAAAAGTACTGCCTGATTCAGGCTCTCCAAATTTCCTCCAAAAACTCTGTTGGTGTCTCTTCCCCCACCCCACCTCCAGCAGGGATCCTCCAACTGTGCAAAGGCCCGACTCTCCAGCTCCAGCCCATGCCAAGAATAAGTCATGCTCCCAGGGTAAAAGTGGCCACATAATTCAACTCACTTCCTTGAAGATCTGGTCTCTCTAGTAATATTACTTTCAGCTTTGGTTTTCTCAGTACCTCAGGTCTCCTGTACCTCAGACAGGTGATTCCTCTCTTGTTTCTGGTATTTCTAGTTGTTCACAGCAAGAGTATTTTTGGCCATGAGTTAGTGCACTGCGTCGAGGAGAAGCAGCTCATTTATGCATTTTTATTATCATTCATTTATTAATTCAACACATATATATTGACCAATTACTATAAGCCAGACACTATTTTATTCGCTGAGGATTTAACAGTAAAGCTGTTTTTTTTTATTAATCAGCTGACGTTAAGGTCACACAGTAAAGTTTTTGAGAAAGAGAAAATCATTACTCTTACATAAATTATTTTCTGGTATATAAACAATATAATAAAATAAATAACTAAACTATATGACATCCTAAGTAATGATAATTATTAATTAGAAAACTTAAACAGAAATGTTGGAATAGGAGTCACAGAATATTAGTCGGGATTTCGTATACTGTGCGGTAATCAGAACATGCATTACTGAGAAGATACATTTGAATAATCAACCAAAGGAAGTGAGGGGGTAAGCCACACACATATCTTGAGGAAGAATAACTGAGACACAGAGAATTATTTTTCATACTTTCTTAGGCAAGAGTATGTCTGGGGTCATGTAAAAAGTTGACAGGGACAATGGTTGGTATGTCACCATGGTGTTAAAGAATTGTTAGAGTTAAGCATTGTTAGAGGGAAGCTGGAAATAATGGATATTGTTGGAAAATTATTGAGTATGAGATTGAGGTTACAGAACGTTTTAAAATGATGGTAATGACAAGGTCTAAGGTATGTCCATCAAGTGAACAACTGAGACAGATTAAAGTATGAGATTCCTAGAAGGAGATGGGCTAATTGGTCAATTTAGGAGCCAGTAGATTGGAACAGTAATCTATGTGGATGACAAAAGCTCCAAGAAGTATGGCAGAACCACTTTGAGTGACAGTGAGGAAGGAGTTGGCACCTTTAAGGCACAACAGGAAATGACCCTGGAAGAAGTGCATGATTTTTCTAAGGAAAAGTGGAATCTGGCATGGTCAGATTGAGATTAGAATCTAGGAATAATCACGAACTGAAGCAGGGGAATAAGCTGGAAGAGGGAATAAGAAGCAACCGGAACAAAGTCTCATCTGTAGGCCTTCAGCATGAGAACTATGGGAGAAGAAAATGCCTCACTTAAGTGGAAACATGGAGAGGAGAAACAGGAAAGCAATAAAAGAAAGGAAATGTTCACATAAGACATTGGAATGGTAGAGAATTCTGCTTATTATTGACCTGAGATCCAGAGGATCAAATGAAAGGAGATTTGGGGTATGTGTGTGTGTGTGGAGGAAATGAGATATTTTATGAACACAGGAAAGTTATAGTGCTGGAAAGGTTCAAAACATAACCTTAAACATTCTCTTAAAAATCTGGCAATCCCTAGTTGGAGAAAAATTCATACAATATCTTCAAACTCGGGGAAATCACAAATTTCTTGACTGGCTATGGAATGTTTTGGAAGACTATAATCCACTATACTGTTATCTGTGAATATAGAATATTTTTCCTGTTACAAGAATAGTACTTGGCAATTATAAGTTGCAATAAATATCAAATCTAATTTATTTTGAGTGAAGAAATATTTCTGTGGATACTCCTGATGTTGGGTGCCTGTGACAGTGCTTATAATTGTCCAATAAAATCCATTCTCCTTCCTGTGCTGTAAAAGATGTGTACTTGTCATGAACAAGCAAGTACAGTGTACCTTATTCACCTTTGAATCCTGGTATATCTCTGTCACTAAATTTTATCTATTGAACATAAGCTGAAGGGATATGTGTAACACACAGGGTGAAATCTAAAATGTTGCCTCTGTGTTTCCCAAGCTTATTTGCCTGTAAACTCAAAATAAAATCTGAAGATCATGGACCCAACTTAACTTATTAGAATGAATTTTCACCTGCCTAGATATAATCAACAAAGGAAATAAAAGCAATAACTGTTGTTGGGAGACTTTTGCAAATTTATGTTCATGAACCTAGTTCAAAAGAAAAAGGTTATATACATGTTTCTCAGTATTTTTCTTTTCTTTTCTTTTTTTGGATAGGGGACAGAGTCTTACTCTGTTGCTCCTGCTAGAGTGCTGTGGTGTCAGTCAAGCTCACTGCAACCTCAAGTTCCTGGGCTCAATCAATCCTTCTGCCTCAGCCTCCTGAGTAGCTTGGACTACAGGCATGTGCCGCCATCCCTGGCTAGATGTATGTATGTCTGTGTATGTGTGTGTGTGTGTGTGTGTGTGTGTGTGTGTATATTTTATTCCAGCATATTATGGGGGTACAAATTTAAAGGTTGCATATAATGTCCTCACCTCCCTTCCCCCCACAAGTCTAAGCTTCAAGTGTGACCATCCCACAGAGACTGCACATTTCACTCATTATGTATGCACATATCGGCCCCTCTTTTCCCCTCCCATCCGCCCAATACCCAATTAGTGTAGTTCTTAAGTGTCCATTTAGGTGCTGCTTAGTTTATACTAGTTGCTGGTGAGTATATGTGATGCCTGTTTTTCCATTCTTAGGATACTTCACTGAGAAATATAGGTTCCAGCTCTATCCAGGAAAATACAAGATGTGCTAAACCACCGTTGTTTCTTAGAGCTGAATAGTACTCCATGGTATACATATATCACATTTTATTGATCCACTCATGAATTGTAGGGCATTGGGTTGTTTCCTCAGCTTTGCAATTGTGAATTGTGCTGCTATAAAAATTTGAGCACAGGTGTCATCTTTGTAGAGTGTTATTTGATATTTGGGGTAGATGCCCAGTAATGGGATTGTTGGATCGAATGGTAGTACTTGTGTCGCTTTGAGGTATCTCCATATTGCTTTCCATGGAGGTTGAACTAATTTGCAGTCCCACCACCAGTGTAGGAGTGTTCCTATCTCTCCGCATCCATGCCAACATCTATTGCTTTGGGACTTTTTGATAAAGGCATTCCTACTGGAAATAAGTGATATCTCATTGTGGTTTTGATTTGCATTTCCCTGATGATTCGAGATGGTGAACATATTTTCACATGTTTGTTAGCCATTATTCTGTCTTCTTTTGAGAATTTTCTGTTCATGTCCTTTGCCCACGTTTTGATAGGGTTGTTTGATTTTTTCTTGGTGATTTCCCTGAGTTCTAGTAAATTCTAGTTATCAGCCCTCCTCAGATGTG